CGTTTAGAGATGTAACTATCTGCGTCGCTGTGGTCACTCTCCATGTAGCATCAATTATGCTAATGCTAGCTGTCACGTTCTCTCGTCCTGGCCACACYTCCCCTCTCTAAACCCCGCCCCTCCCCTACCCACTTTAAAGCATTTTTCAAATTTCACCTTGGGGTGGAGTTATCTTTTCACGGGGGGTTGGGGGTGGGGGTAAGATACACTTTAAATGTCTAAATGAAACTGGAGTTTTTACGTTAACGCATGTTAGCTTTTAGCTAAAGAGAATGTGTTTGGGCATAATCTGATTTAACATGATGTCCCAGAAATCTTTATTACGTCGTCTCTCCCATGTGTACGGAGCCCTGAGTAGTTGCACGTGCCTTTCTGCTGCGTTTATTTCCCTACKTCTCCTGGCAGCGTTAARCATAGCCTGTACTAGCTGARTAGAYAGAATAATTACAACTTGCCCAATAGCAAGGCATTCACGAAAAAATTGCTTCATTGTCCCAAGATGATTAGCCTCTGCTAGTTAGCAAGTTTCACTTCCTGTTTAGTACCGCAAAGCTTGTCGCCGACATCTAACGTAATCACGCGTTGCGTAGCCTCGTTTATTCGCATCAAACAGTCGAGAGGGAAACTAGATGGAAACCGTCTAGATTCAAATTTTTATTTATTAAATTTTTTGCAAATTTTGAAAAGTTCAATAAAAATTCACTCTACAACTGGATGGAAACACAATTTTATTATCACAAAAGTTAATACTGCTCCAGAGGACTCTCAAGTGTTAAGAGTTTCCACTAGAGGTCTGAGCTGGACTGAAGACAGAGATCACAGCTGTGTCCTCCTCAACAGTACCCTGCACCACCTCAGAAACTGCACGAAGTGGTCCGGGGGTCTCCCACCTGAGTGTGATTTTCAGTTACAATACAGAGGAACTAAAATAAGGTGTGRAAAACAGGTTCAGTCATCAATACAAAAGAAAAAAGGGGAGAAAAAATGATTCATTCATGATGTAAATGAAGAAATTTAATTTAATTTATGACAATCAGTACATTGTGACATGTATGAACATTATTGTGTCAAATGTGAACTTATCTTAGGATTTTCACAATTTCATCTTAACATTTCGCAGAATCTTCTTGAAGATGAAATCMGAGGCAGTGATTGGTCCATGCCGGGGTTTCGTAACGTCATCCAGGATCAGCTTTGCAAATCATCTCTTCGCATGATTCTATTGGAATGTTTTATGGGTGTGTCCAAACGACTCGACAGCGCCACCTAATGTGAGAGAGGAACTGGTAAGTCCTGGAGAGTTGAAATTTTGCACATAGGTAGATCTCCCCAAATCAAGAAAAAAAGTCTCTTGGAGGTATGTCCTAAAACCGACAGGAAGTTGGCCATTTTGGGTCAAAGGTCAAATTTTGGCTGATTTTCAATTTCGTTCACATCGAACTTTTGCGAAGACTGACACATAAGAATTACTCCTACTTTGTTTAGAGTGAGAGTAAGTCTCAGCTTTTAGCTAAGATTTTTTTTACACTTAAGTCCACTCAACAGCATTCTTAAGAGTAATTCGATAACTACGGGCACTGGTCCTGATCCATTGATCCATCGTTCGCCCCATCCTACCATCACGATGTGAACAATACACTCAGGTACTGACCCTGTCTACCTGACTCGGACTTAAATCTAAAATATTTTGTCTCTAAAGCGTATAAAACCTTTTAAAACTGAGGTCAGACATCACCGCTTTGCCTTTAGCCACACATGATGAACATCCAGAGTCTTCATGTTTCCCTTTCTTCTCCTCACTTGTTTTAGTTTAGCTGCTGTTCTGTGTGTGTGTGTGTGTGTGTGTGTGTGTGTGTGTGTG